TGCCACTGATTTTTCTCCCTGTTACAGTGCTAACCATAATGTGTTTGGGCCACACACTGCTCTCCCACTCATAGCGAAGTGGAGGTGTTCGCTCCCAAATTTCATGTCTGTCCAAGAGGGTCTTTCCCAAGTTTCCTGTATGTCATGAGGCAACCAAGATGGTCATTCCCGAACTTCCTGTCTGTCCTGATATGACCACGAAGGTCGTTCCTTAGTCTTCTGTCTAGCCGACCCCCCCAGACACCCATCTCTCAGCTGGCCCCAAGTCAGCCGACACTCCAGTCATCCTCAAGCCAGTTACTCATCCAGGCGATTTCAAGCCAGCGAATACTCCTGATGATCTCGAGCCATCCGATCTGCTAAGGGTTTGAGTCGACAGCTTCACCTGTTCTGCTCTTTTGTGGTGGCCTTCTGCTCCACCGTGGGAATCTTCAGTCCTGTCTGCACTGATTCAGTTGCCTTTTAAATTTTAGTATAGGCTTCCCTTGCACCAGGATGATCATATGTGGGGTCTGTCAGCTAAAAGACTGAAAACTGACAATTAATTTACTTATTTAATAAATTAAAAACAATACTGGCATTGTAAATGTACTGACGCTAATGTCCAGTTGTCTCAGTAGCATTATGCAATGGTTGCTGTATATAATTCCAGTCCTATCGCCGAGCTTTGAAATTATGTGTATTGTGAAAATACACAAATAAATTTGATTTAACCTGATTATGAGAGTGTGGCTCTTGTAGGCCTGCCCATTCAAACAGTCACCACAGGACAACAATTTCACTGTAGGCCACAAATAGCGTTTGGATATTTCACACTTAAGATTCGTTACGAATTCAGTAAAAATGATCAGATACGAAAGATTACAGTATCAGTGTGACGAGAGGGGCGGGGGCCGAGAGCCGTGGGAACAGAGCGAGGCCGGTGGAGTAATTGATAATGAGCGACACCTGCACCACTCACCGGTCTCGAGTCTCACGGAGGAGCTCCGGAAGGATACAAAGGAGGAGTGATGACAGTAAAAGACGAGAGAGGACCAGGCCTGGAGTTTATGTTGTGTTTGTGCGTGACAGTCGTCTGTGAGGGGCTGTCGCGCTATTTTGTGTTTGTTTATTTTATTAAAGTTATGTTGAAGCGTTCGCCGGTTCCCACCTCCTTCTTACTGATCTACGAACTTTGTTACATTGGTGCCGAAACCCGGGAGGAAGGAGGGACACGCTGTCAGAGAGCCCTTGCTGCTGAGGGGGGTCGTGGTGCTGAGGAGATCGGGCAGCAGGAACAAGAGGAGAGACCGCCGATGGCTGCCCGAGGCGGTGGTGCTGGAACTATGGAAGACAAGGTGGGACGGAGAGCTCGCTGCCGCGCTCCTGGGTCGAGGAGGGGTGGCTGCCGTCCGTGAGGGAGCGGAGGAGGCTGCCCGTTCGTCAGGAGGCCGGAGCCTGCTGCCATCCGCCATGATTGGGGACTCGCAGGGAACGGGGGACTCGCTGTCGGCTGCCCTCAATAGGAGGAGCCATCGCCGTCCACCAGGAGGCGGAGGAGCGGTGGGCCATCCACCAAAGATGTCCAGTACCGTCGCATGGCACCGTGAGTAAGAGCCTCTCAGCCGGTTGAGGACCAAGCGCGTCCGTGAGGGAGCGGAGGAGTCTGCCCGTTCGTCAGGAGGCCGGAGCCTGCTGCCATCCGCCATGATTGGGGACTCGCAGGGAACGGGGGACTCGCTGTCGGCTGCCCTCAATAGGAGGAGCCATCGCCGTCCACCAGGAGGCGGAGGAGCGGTGGGCCGTCCACCAACGATGTCCAGTACCATCGCATGGCACCGCGATTTAGAGCCTCTCAGCTGCTTGAGGACCAAGCGGCAGTGTGTCTGGGAACCGGAACAAGATTTTATTTTATTTTTATTTTTTCCTCTCTCCCCTCTCTCGTCTCTGTCTCTCCTCATCTTTCCGTCTCCTTTTCTCTCGCCTCGTCTGTCTGTCCTTACCCCCAGGTATGCCGAGGCCGCCGTGATCGGTTCCCCTGGAGGGGGGAGGGGGGGAGTAGAGCGCAGTCTCGGGAGTACCCCCCCAGCCTGCGAGGGGCGATGGAGGTATGTGACGAGAGGGGCGGGGCCGAGAGCCGTGGGAACGGAGCGAGGCCGGTGGAGTAATTGATAATGAGCGATGAATGAACCACTCACCGGTCTCGAGTCTCACGGAGGAGCTCTGGAAGGATACAAAGGAGTGACGACAAGTCGAGAAAGTCGAGAGAGGACCAGGCCTGGAGTTTATGTTGTGTTTTGATTTTGTTTGTGCGTGACAGTCGTCCGTGAGGGGCTGTCGTGCTATTTTGTGTTTGTTTATTTTAATAAAGTTTTGTTGAAGCGTTCGCCGGTTCCCGCCTCCTTTTTCCCGATCTACGAACTTTGTTACAATCAGTTTTACAACCATCATGTTTCTGATTGCAGAGAAAAGTAGATTTACTTGTACATTCAGTCAGTTTGTACCAGCTTTTATATTGAAACGATGAAATAGGCAAAGTGTAGAGGTAATATTAACAGAAATGTCTCTGAATGGTCCAGAGGGAAAAGGGACACTTCAACCCTTCATTATGTAATACGTCTACAAAGAGTACTTACCTATGATTTTGACCTCTCCATTCACGGTTTTCACAAACTGCCTATCTGGAATGATTATTTCAAATGAAAATACAACAATAACCTGGAACTAATGCAATTCTAAAATGTTGTACAGAAGTATTACTGGTGATTTGACTGGAGACATCATGTTTTCTGAATAAGGAATTATATTGTTTTTCATTGTATCCACTGTCCACTTTATCCAACTCGGAAGAAATTTTTTTGTGAATGTGCGAAACTTCCTATTCATTAGCCGCTATGGGTAAATAACTAGAGTCTCAAAGTAAAACGTTAAAACTATTTGCACTACAAACCAGTGTTTATTACTATGACGATACATAAAAATAATATGTTAAGTAATACCAGCAATATCAAGTGACACAAGCCATTTTTGTACAGCTAAAATAACTAGAAGTGTATGATTCCGGAAGCCTCGCACATTCAATTTACAAATGCCCGCACCCGCTCTCACGTTAATAAGGTAGATAGGCTACTCTGAAAATATTTGCTCTATGGGCTCTTACACAGTTGACAAAAGTAAACTGTACAAGGGGTGATCCGTGAACATGGACTAACAGTGTGCTTAATAGGCTACAGTACGGTACCTTATATATAAGTATAATTATCTCATGCTTGAAAATACACGGTGCACACCCAGGGGAATATGACAGCAGTAAGCACATGAATGCTTAGCATATGTTGGGTAAGAAATCTTAATACTGATTATGTGAATTGAATAAACGACTGCTATCAAGCCTTACGTGCAGGGCCGTCCGTGCAACTGAGTGTGTAATGTAAAGTGCACACACACGTACATATACTCTTGTAAGAGCAAATGTATAACAACATATGCAGTAATGACAATCCTCTATAAAAATAATGGGAATTCTAAAAAATGCATTACTTTAATAAGAATTTGGGAGAGGATATTTGTTTTTGTTAAATATAATTTTTATATGGGGTTAAAAGTGTTTTAGTCTTGGACATATTTTGTGAGATTTACCCTAGAGTACAAAGGCAAAATAAAAGTTTTTCCAAAAAATCAGGAATTGAACACATTGGGATTATCTGTTCTTTGCTTTTGTATGGTAATTACTCTATTTAATGTTTGCCAGGTTTTTGTGGAATACTTTGGAGAGACACCACAAAGTGGGAGTCTAAGTATGAATCAAACGCTTGCATTCTTTGTCCTGAATTACCAATGAGGCTGAAGCTCTGATATTAAAAGCCACATTGTAAAATCCAGTGGCCCATTTTCCTTCATTATCCACCTCATTCCCAAACCTCCTTACAGCTGCCGACAGCGTCCCAGCACTGTAGTCATGACCAATAAAACACAAAGTCAGTTGTTGTTAGACAAAGTGGTGTATTAATTTCAGATCCTTTAGTTTTGTTTTCTCTTCAGTGTAATGGATTGACACTGTACAGGCAGTAAAGATAAGAACTGCATCCTGGTATACGAGGACTAAACTGTTGAACTGTATAGAAGATAAAGGATAAACATACTGGCATGTCCTGAGAAGCCAATAATGTTTCCAGGTCATCAGTTCAAATCTACACCTGAGTGATGCACATGTCCACTATAGCATCAACCTATAGTTTGTTGAGCCACAAAATCCATTTAAATGGAAGTGCACTAGACCCCTTGAAACTGCAAAGCACAGTGGCCAGCAACCATTCAAATGTTCTTCAGAACATGTACTTACTTAGATAAAATTAATGCTCTTTGACAGATAAAAACACTTATGTTTGATCTAATAAGTTTTGTAATACAACCTGAAAGTGTGATCATTGGTGGACTGTCATCATAACATTGAAGAGAAACAGCAGTGAAGTTCACATGTTGACATGTCCATCTGGGCCATAATGGAGCTCTTGTCCTGACATACTATCTCCCGATGGTTATTTTTTAAAAAGAGTGGCATACTGAGTCCCTGGGGTTTGTGTTGCTAACCAGAGAACAACCTCACAGAGGCACTAGAGTACATCCGTAGTAATTAATAATAGTGCACACTAAAGCAGCCCAGGAGCCTATACCCAGAATGCAATGTTTTTATATTCTTATTTTAATATAATCAAAAATATTTATTTACTATAGATGTTTAGCCAGTGACTATTATAAAAATAATAATAATAATGAATAGGCCTCTCTCGCTCTCTTTTTCAATTTAACTTAATAAAAAGGATATAAAAAAAACATGGGCCTATTTTTTTATATAATATATTTAAATTGAAGGGATAAACAAGTTATTAATATGTTTTTATTGTATTAAAAATGACATTTAAATAATTTCTTTATTCATATTTTTATCCCATCAATTCAAATATATCACTAAAATATTAAATATAAATAAATTAGTTATATATGATTAAAAATGTCAAATAAAACAAATTATTTGTATTTTATATATGTGTGTCCACAGATCAAATGCACAGCACAACTTCAAAACCTCAAAAGGACAACAAAACAGCATACAGACCTTTGATATAACAGACTTCTAATACATCTCATGCAAAGCTAAGCTGATTTCTGCTGCACAGCAAAGTGATCACATGCTTATCTGTCGAATGCACTGATACAATCATTTTACATATGCATTTCAATCTAAATTTCTTTCAAATTTACTTTAGGTTTGGCACGTAAATACAATGAAACACAATTATTACTCTAATATAAAGTTTTACCAGATTCTGCATTATATTTTAAAGGTACCTCCACAAGATAACCATCATGCAGTGTGTACAGTATATAGAATTTTCATGTTGATGCTCAAAATAATCCAATGCAGATGGGAAAAATGGCTAATCGCACAATTGGGCCAATATGAAAAACTATTTTTGCTCATTTATGGAAAAGTTTCATCCTCGATGAGGTTTTCCAGCTCTCCCTCTCTGCTTCCGTTACTGTTACTGTTACTCCCTCTGCTGTTGGAGACACAGACCATCAAAATATGAATATGTATCACACACACACACACACACACACACACACACACACACAGAAACATAAGCATTGAGTTTGAAATACTAAATGTAACTGATTATCATGGCAGTGAGGTCTATTGTGTGATACCTTAGAGGGCGAAACAGTGACATATCCCTGCAGAAATTAATGAGAGAAATAAGAACAAAATATCAATGTCAGTGAAATCACAGGTATTATGCGTCTCAGTATACAGTAGGATGCAAGTGACGTGCAGTGGATGAGGATGTGCATTCTGGACTTACACAGTCAGACCAGGGGCAGACATGGACCTGCCCTGCCTGCGGCTGGGACATTCGAACGGGTTACTGAAGGAGCGCTTCCGCAGCATGGACTTCACCAGGATCTTAAAATACGGCGAGAAAGAGAAAATATTCACTCTAAAACAAGTCATTAAACTGCACACATTTACAAATAACCACAACATGGTACCATTTGATCCACAACATTGGACTTTTTTGAGACACACATATTAAACAGTTGACGGTAGCCACAGACATCCATAGTATTTTTTGGTTTATATATATACAGTACGTATATATTATGGAAGTCAATGGCTACCGTCAATTGTTTGGTAACCAACATTCTTCAAAATATCTTCTTTTGTGCTCAAAAGAAGACAGAATCTCATACAGGTTTGGAACAACTCGAGGGTGAGTATATGATGACAATTTTCAGTTTTGGGTGAACAATATTTTAAAGGATTTAAAAAAAAGGAGTTGCATTAAATTGATCAAGTGTGGCAGTGAAGACATTACAATGTTACAAAAGATTTATATAAATAAATGAAGACTCATGAAAAACTAAATCAGCTTGCCATCACTAAATTGTGAATAAATTCAAATTCAATAAATTACATTTGAAAATATATTAATATAGAATGCAGTTATTTTAAATTGCAATAACATTTTACAATATGACTGTTTTTACTGTATTTTTGCGCAAATAAATTGTGAGCATAAGAGACTTCTTTCAAAAACATGTATATGTTCATGTTGAATGAAAGTGAATGTTAGACCAACAATAACAGTTTCATAATTAAAATTGTGGATTTGTTTGCTCCCAGAATGCATTGCAGCATGTAGCGTGTTTGGGAGAAACTAAGGGAACTAATCCTATAAATCACAATGCACAATGTTTTTTCCCCTAATTTTTATTTATTTATTTTTATTAAATTGACCATGACTTTTTTTTTTTTTAGTGTGTGGCAAATGTTTTTTTTTGTCTTCCTTCAGATGTACTCACCACAGCAGACAGGCTGGGAACTAGTTTGACAGAGTTCTGCACCTCCTCCTCAGTGACCTCCACAACAGTGCAGTGCTCCTCCTCCAGAGGCAGAAGATCCGTGCCATCAAGCGTGACCCACGGGTGCAGCTGCCCACAAACTCAAGATTACACACACACACACACTCTCAGAGTAACACTAACATCTACACTTTAAAATACTTCTCAGCAATCTTTCAATATGATTTCACCTTGATTTCTGGTAACGTGATTCTAGTTTCAGGGACTCTGTCCAGCATTCTGACGATGAGATCCTTCAGCCCATCACTGATCACGGGCCTGTGCAAAGAACACGAACATAATTACACCAGTCTATCTGTCTGTAATATATTTGTAAAGCATTTAAATAAAAGAATTTTCAGCATTGGTGACTCACATGTCTGGGAACTCGACTTGCGCAGTCCTGATCTTTTCATGCAGGCCTAAGATGTATTCATCGTGAAAAGGACACTAAACAAAGAAATATGAACAGATTTGTATTCAATATATCCACAGATGCTCTTAACCACATTCATATTTTAAAAGGTGACTGTCTTACCCTTCCAAAGATGAAACAAAACAGCGTCACTCCCATTGCCCATATGTCTAGAGCCTGAATCCAACGAGAGTCGATTGTAAATAATAAAGAATCGATGGCTTCACTGTATGTAAACAGAAATATTCAATAAATCTTCTGACCTTTCCACTAAATCTGAGGTCCTGGTCAGTCAGAGTTTCAGGTGCCATGAAAGCTGGTGTTCCTGCACTGTCTGATAGGAGAGCATCGTTCCCCTCAAACACATTACTGACACCGAAATCTGCGATCTTGATGTGTCCATCATCCCCCAGCAACAGATTGGAGGGTTTGATGTCTCTATGTATGATTTTCTGATAGTGCACTAAAAACAATAAAACATGAAACAAATAACTATAACCAAACCCTAAAGTTAAATAAACGACATTCGTAAATACAAGACAGCTTAAAATACCCTAGACTAGGGAAACATACAGTATTCAATTCCTAGGATGACATCTCTGAAGTAGAAGCGGGCCATTTCTTCTGTTAGAGGACTGTCTGTTGGGATCTCCATCACTGGACTAGGATGGGGCGAAAATGATAAGAGAAAAAACAAACTAAAGAGACATCTAGTTTGTATATGTGTGGTAATGCCCTATAGGTACAAATACTCACCCTTTAGGTACCAACTCAAAGACTATGAAAGGGACACACAGAATAAATAGAAAAAAATAGATCAAAGAGTAAAAAGGAAAGTGGTCTATATCGCAGATTGCTGACTAACAAAATGACTTACCCATGTGCAAGTTATCCTCAGCCGGGTCATCGAGAACCTTCAGTTAAATATCACAGGACAGATGCGTTTTGGTTAGTTATTACAGCAGAGTTGTTTTTTATTTAAATATGTTTGATGAAATAAAGCTGCAATACAATAAAATATAAATATTAGATTAAAAACTTTCAAAACTTAAATTTGTAATATTGCCTTGGCAGCTAACTGAAATAAATACGTTTAAGTTTTAAGCGGAAAGTTAAAAATAAATTAAAGCTAAATAGAAATACTTTAAAAAAACAAAAATGACAAAAAGCAAATAACAAAAAAACTGAAACTAAAATGGAAAATGAAAACTGAAAATATCAAAATAAAAGCGAATTCAAAATAAAAATATATACTATATAAATGATACCAATATAACACAGCGTTATACTTTATAGTCCAACATATTTGCCTTGTATGGTAAAGAATCCTGTAAAAAAACTAAGACATGTTTTTGACTCACCTCAACTAAATTAACAACATTAAGATGGTCAAGTTTCTTCAATATAGCAATTTCTTGATATACCCGGTCCAATAGGCCAGAATGCTTTAAAAGATTCTCTTGGGATCCATTTGATTCTCTGGAAGGACGTCGCCCTACACAACCATCACAACATTAATATTAATATTCTGCAGACAAACTTCAAAAGAGTAAATGTAATGTAAATGTTTATTGCTTACGTGGGAATCCATACTGCTTCATTAACTTCTTTTTGGATACCAACTTCATAGCCTGGAATAAATTATTATATTATATTATATTATAATGCCATTTATGAGCATTTTTGTAAGTAGTATTAATAATATAATATAATATAAATGGTAATGATAATGATATGGTTAAATGGTATAATTTTATTATTTTTTTATTATTATTTTTATTTTACTTTTACAACCAATATGCTTACATAATACTGGTCATCATCTTCATTATATGCTAATTTGACCACCCCATAAGAACCCTGGGTAAAAAAAAGGAAGGTTACCAGAAATAGTCAATCAATAATAAATATAAAAAAAAAGATTCTTAAGTAGAACCACCAACCTTTCCTATCTGACTCTTTAACTTGTACTGGTTTAGCTGGACACAGTCCTGTGGGCAGAAACGGGAATGTATTAGGAATGTTGCAAAAATTAACAAATCAAATATTGATAATTGAATATACTCATAATACTCACCAAAAACATAAAATAAACAACATTAAAGATGAATTTAATAGCATTTTTTTTCTATATGCTGTAAAAATGATTTGTAAATAAAACATTTAAAAAATATTATTTTACAAGAAAATATTTAAGTCTTTCTACTTTTATATGTAATGTTTAATTCAATGTCTTTCTTGCCATTTCTCTGTAATTATTTGCTAAATTTACTAGCAATTTATAAGTGAAAATTGTAAATTCTACACCGAAATCATGAATTCTTTTGGCTATGATAACCATGTATAGTGAAAATCTGATATCGTGACAGCCCAAGTATAATGAACTCCATGTTAATTTTGGTGAACAACAATCTCAGGTAACAGTTTGCAGCAAAAGTATAAAATCTCCTGCCCAACTCACATCCCCATCAGAGATAGACACCCGCTTCGATTCAATCGTGGGTCTTCTGGCTATTCGTGTGGTGATGCCATTCTGGTAACTGGATCGCTCCTGCAGTGACAGCTTGCGATCGGAGAGACTGAGGCGATGTGGGGTGGTCCTGTAGCCATTAGAAGGGGTCAGTCTGTTGGCAGCCACGTTCATGGCTGCTACCATGTCAGCCAGTTCAGCATTATAATCAGGGTCCAAATCCAGCCTGTTAGCTATGTCAGCACTCATGACTGTCCTGCTTCAGTCTGAGCGGTTTAGAACAAAGCACACATCTCAGTGGACATCGCAGAGCCGGTGTTCTTCAGACTAGTCTCTGTGGGAACGTCAAACTGTAAAAGCAGAATTGGATAGTTGAGTTTGACAGCAATAAAAAGCACACTTACTGCCATAAGTTCAAACACATTTAAGTGACGCGTTGCTCTCTTTAAACAACAGAACTTTTCACATCTCAGGTTAAATAGGCTTTTCTGTACTGTTATTACGGAAGCACACAAAATAGACCACTGCTAAAGAGAAATAACTCATAAACCATCTTTATGTCTTTTATAAACATGCATAAACAGAGAAAATACATTTTAAAATAGTCTGAATATTGGCTTTGATAAACACAAAAATGAAATCCATAATGGTCTAAAATTATAATTAAATTTGTGGTCCCATCTGATTCAGGGTTATTATTGTGAACTAAAACAATTAAAAGAAAACAAAGCAAAACAAAACCATTCCTTGAAATAAAATAAATATGAACTGAAATCAACTAAAATATGAGAAACTTAAACTTATTTTATTTCAGCTACAAATGTCATTTTTGTTTTAGTTTAATTTAAGTCATAACTAAAACTTGAAAACTAAAGTTAAAAAAGAAAAAGACACAATACTGAAATAAAATCTAAAAGAAATCTGGCAGCTAGTTGCTGAAGCAACATTCTTTCAGTTTAAGTTGAAGTATTAAAACAATTTAAATTACATCGACATAAAAACAAACTACTAAAAATGACAAAACACAAAATTATTTTACACGTTTTACAAAATAAATCAAACTTTAATTAGCATAAATATAAAATAAAAGTAGGTTGTGTCAATCAAGAAAGTATTATTTGTACAGGTTTCTAGTTTTTACTAAACAGAAGAATTGCTATTACTTACATAGAGCAGCAAGAGTTTGTATTGCCAGTCATAGTGTTGCATGGTCTTCCACTCATCAGGCAGAAAACACTCCTGTGCCTCTGAAGCCCAGAGGACTCCAGACTCTTTGGGATCACCGAAGCAAAGAGGATTAGCTAGCATGGTCACATTTAGTCCAGCGTGGCTATATCTGTTCCAAAAGACTGTTTACATGTACTGACTGTAGTCAGTGAAAGGACATAAACAGTAATCAATGAGCGAGGCTACGTCATACTGAGAGCAAGTGCGGTAAAGTACCTAAGGTGTGAACACACAAAGTATGGCAAGTAGTGAAATGATGGCTAAGTGGCTAAGTTCTTGAACCTCCAAGTCAAAGTATAACAGGATAGCACTTTAAGGTAAAAGCAATATACTCTTGAGGTGGGAAAGAAGATCAAGTGTTACGTAACCTCATATAGGACATACACTGGACAACAAAATTGGATTTAATCCAAAACAAAAATACTTTTATAGAACATGTCAAGCTTATATCCTTATCCTTACAAGCTTATATCCTTAAGAGGTTCCCCTGTTCGGAAATTATATATATACACACACACACACACACACACACACACACACCATATATATATATATGATACAATAACCCATATATATGAAGGTTATTGTATCAATTGGATGTCTAATATTTAGTTAATTTAATGAAAAGTAATATGTTGGAATATAACTAAATATAAAGTAACAGGGTTGATGATGGCATGTTGACAGTTTTATAATTAATGTGGCCACGTTCACGGTATTATTAGAAAGGGAGTTTAATGCTGATACTTTTTACAAAGATCTCATTTTAAACAGGGTTTCTACAGACATGAACAAGTTAAATTTAAGACCTTTTTAATACCACCTTATATGAAATTTAAGACCTAAACCTGTAATGGAAATACACATTTTATTACATACATATATGTAATATTTAATTTGTTTAAATATAAAAGAAAACTAAATATCATTGCTGTAATAAATTATATTTATTACTACGATATACAGTGAACTTTTCATATCAGCAGACCATATTCCATACAAACTATCCCTGCAAAATAACTGCATCACTGAGATTTTTGGTGAAGTAAACTATTTATTCTGAAGCAACATTTTCATCAGTGTTCTATCAGCTTTTACATACTTAAATCTGCATATTTTTATTTACCTTTACAAAGGCCTATTTTTAACCTTTTTAGATGTATGCATCATCTTACATGTCAAATTATTACAATTTATCAATAAATTAAATATACACTATAGAGCTGCTACCAATCAGATTAAATAATTTACACTGCAAATAACAATAATTACAACTGCAATAAATAATGTTATGAGATTAATGTTTTAAATGCATTTATGAATATACAAATAAGAAATGTTGAGGGGAAAAATGCATACTTTTCAACTAAACTACCAGTAAGTGGCGGTAAGACACTTAATGAGTGAGTCATTTGAGTCATTCATTCAACTGATTGAGTGTGTTATCATGCTGGTATCTTAAGGACTTTCGTGGACAGCTGATTCCTAAAGTTTTTCATATTCTGTATGGTGGTCAGATAGAAATTAATATTTTCCGATAAGTTTAAACTGATTTTTACCTTTATAAAGCCATTTTTTCTAAAAGTGTGCAGTATCCTTTGAGTCAAATTCTTACATTTAATCAGTGAATTAGAATAATAAGACATTTGGGCTGTTACCAAGCAAATTAAATCAGTATCAACAAAATTCATCTTTGCAATCCAGACATAAGCTACATCTGAAGTGGCATTTAGATGTAGGCTATTTACACACTGTTTAATGCAGAACAATGAATGCATTTAACCTGCAGTTACAAATGCATAAATAATGTTTTGATATATTAAACATAAAACGTTGAATACTGATATTTGAAATGATTTAAAAAATGAAAAGATACTTTAACTGTGAAATTAAAACCGCCAGTAGGTGGCAGCAAGTCTCTGTTAATAAGCGAGTCATTGCGACTGAACCGAATCATTTAAACGACTGATTCATTCAGGAAAAAAACGCTGTCATGTTGCTCAAAGACGCAAAACAGCGCTGTGGCTTAGATTGGAACTATTTTTGTTGGCGAAATATGGTGTCTAAAACTTAAGTCTCTAAATAAAACTTCTAGTTTATTGAACTGTTGTAAAAAAAATCAATATCACATTTGTATATGGTCATTTTTGGAGAAAAAAGGCACTCTTCCTGTGAAATTTATTAACTATATGAAGTGGTATAAATATACAAATTTTCTGCCCCATGTCTTGAATTTGTGATCATTCTGAATGTATTTTAATAGACTGAATCATGCCATAAAAAGAGCGCACTAGACTTCACGTAATGCGTGCACTCTGTAGGTGTTTTGAATGGTTTTTGTGTCGTGAGAATATTGAGCAAAATAGTTGACTTGTCAGGGTGTTACTTAATTATATCATGTTATGAATAAACTAAACATTTAGAATTTTTACCTCAGTGTGTTTCTTCTGAGTTTATGTGTGCTGTTACGCTCGTTTGTTCGGAAATTTCTCACCAAGAGACAAACAGAGTGAGCCTTAACAGCGCGACCTTGATACCAGAAATATACTATCCATTATCAATTGCTGTTTACATTGAATGTAGGCTAATAACAATAGAAGAATCATTCTTCGATACTAAGCTGGTTATTTTTTGTCACTTATGTTTTAATCAGGCTATTTGTCTGGTCAGGCAGTTCGACCTGTATTCTGCTACTGCGATTCTCTCAGTAACTATCGCAGAGAAGAAAAAATCTTCGGTCTGTCCAATGATTGTAAACAGTCATTTAGGTCCGTCAGACTGAAGATATTTTAGCGGTAATGTGACCAAAAATATTTAAGACCCATCGAATCCAAATTTAAGACATTTTAAAGCCTTATATTAAGAAAACGTTAAGACTTTTTAAGGACCCGCGGACACCCTGTTAAATGACAGATTGTTTCATAGAGAAAATCACAGTAACAGGGTTGACAATTTATTGTCATACTATTTTGATAAGTTATAAAATTACATTTAAAGTGCAAAAAAAAAAAAAAATGCATGCAGCATTTACTTCCTGAAAGGATGATGATGTCAAATAACAGGGTTGCCAAGTCTTTTAATAATACATTCTGAGAGAATAAATATACTAGTTATATGTTGTATATTTTTTTCTAATCAAATGTGCACATTTGCTATTATAACAAAGGGAATTTAGGAATTTGGAAATGGTGAAAAATAAATAAATAAATAAAGCTAGTAAATGTGGATGTGGACCATCATTATTTACATTTCATAGAAGGAAACATAGATAACTCATATCTAAATGGTAGAATATACAGGCAGATAATACGGCTAATATTTTCTAAAGTTTTTCTAAGTTATTCTAACTATTCTAGAGCTGTCCGAGGTGCTGAAGGCCCTCATACATTTTGACTCATGTTTCTGTGCTTGTCCTCGGCTACATTTATCAAGGGTGTTGGAAGAGAATGTGTAGTTCAGTGTTGGTATGTTGGCTCCAATGAAAGCTCAGAAATCCCTAGCAACCAACCTCTTGTGATCATGTTACAAGATGCACAAATGCAGCCTGATCTCACAACATCAGTAGCTCAGGTCCTCGTTGAGAGGCAGCATCTTCATAAATGGGCTGCAATGCCTCATAAAGGGGATTCAATGCTAAATTTGGACTATCTCAAGTGTTTAAATGCAGCTCAACTTCTGGAGCTCCTGGAAGACGAGGAAAGGATGCAAGAAACTGTCAGACTCAATACAAAAGGTATTGTTCAACACCAAATTACAAACAGACAAAAAAAAAGAATCTGGACAATTTCTGGTTGTCAAATGTTAGTTAAACTAAAAAATGTCATTGAGATTAGCTGATTGCAAAAATTGCTCAGAAAAGTTAGTTTTGAGAAAATGGCAGATAGCATTTGTTTACAGATGATTACAGACTTCAAAAGTGTCTAAATACATTTATAGTGTCATTGTACATGACTTACTTGATCTGAAGGACTTGCCTGCAGTTACAGCATCTTCAGAGGTGTAAAAAGATCTTGATGGCCTCCAACTGTTGGCTTGCAGAGCAGAACTTAGCACATCAGCCACATCTGAACAACTCTAAAAAGCGTTTAGCAGGAAAGTACCAGATTCTTGGTCAAATGGTGTCTTCAGTGCAACGCAAACAGAGAAAGTTGGGTAGGTTCATGGCAGGCTTGCAATATAATGCTTTTTTTCTAATGTGTGTCACTGTATAACTGATCTAATGCTTCTTGCGCCATATGCAGAAACTTTGCAGCAGAACCTCAGCCTTCGAGTGATTCATAAGCTTAAGCTTAAGAAGAAGACCAATCATTCCTTGAGTCAGTCTGAGGTACATCTGAGATATGGTTTCATGAAATGCAGATTTCAAAGATATAAGCTTGATTTCAAAGTTTTGATTGTGATTTCTGCCTTTCACTCTCCAGAATCTCTGGCAGAAGTTCATAGAAGGAAAACTTCTGCTGACAGATTTTGTGGGATCACTTCAAAGCTCTCAGACGTTGTGTCATCTATGCCTTTTTTCAAGCTGAAAAGATCCAAAACCTCATCATACAAGCACAAATATACAGTCAAGATGCTGATTTTTGCTGTCTTGGGCATCATCCAAACTTTCTGCACTCACCGACCACAATCAATGTTTTCAGGTGCAGAGCTCCTGTCATCTTGCTGCCTGGTTTCCAGTATCCTCCTTTATCCCCAACATCGCATCTTCCTCCTCTAAAGCCTCATGGGTGTGTCGACACATGCTCGACATTGATATCCAAAAACGAGTCACGCTCTGAGACTCGCCGATGGCCACAAAGACATGCTGCTTTACAGCCACTTGAGAAGATTCAACATAACATTTGCCAGACTCCCTAGTAAAGGTGTGCTGGTGATCTGGGAACTCTGCAAAAAGCACTAAATTATTGTTAAAACCATTTTGTTGCTGAAATAAATCAACTAGAATATACAGTATATATCAAATATATTCTGACATATTGGACAATTGTTTTTTTTTTTTTTTTTTGGTCAATTTTGAATAAAATCAGTCAATTTGATTTCAGAAATGTTGTGTCCAATTTGTATTACAAAATAGTCAAATAAACAAATACAACCAAGTAATTATTACATTTGTATCACCAAAGCCTCCTATAACTTTTAAATTAACTATCAGTAATTTTACAACAATTTACCAATTCAGGGTCCACTCTAGGTAGAAAAACGGTTAATAATTGGTGATGGTTAATAGTTTTCATCTATTATATTTAGCCTAATTTGCTGCCATCTTCTATAACTCCGAGTCTGTCAGTTGATTCATCTGGTTTAGAAGGTCAACACGAGGTATAGTTGCTTGATCGGACTCATCTCTCTAATTAGAGCTCATTAAATGGGCTGAGAGGGTAAAGGAGAGTTTTGTCTGACCGTTGGCTTCTTTTGTCTGTGGATAATACTTTGGTTACATCACTGTCAGTATGTGCTATTGTCTGCAGCAGCTCAAATTGGGCAATTTTCTCATCTGTCAGCTAAATGCTTCTAGCCTTTGAACATGTCTGATTCTTTATGAAAGCATGGCTCTATCTCACAGCTATCAGACTCTGATAATATCAGCTGATCAACCTCAGACGTTAAGTGCTCCTCAACCACAACAAGAATAGCAGAGCTTTTATACGTAGTTGGTGCTTCTTCTGCCTGGTGTTCACTTAAGCCTGATTTGAAATAAATGTAAAGTTAAAATGCATTTAAATAAACAGAAAACAGATAACAACTGATCTCACCTTTTATGATGTTATTGACCTCTCCCACCAGCTGACTGGACTTCAGTAGCAGTTGTGTGGCATCCGTCTCTGAGTCTCTGTGTTCGTCCTGCCTGGAGGTTCCTCTCAGCTCACTCAGCTTTGGGAATTTTGGAGTGGACAACTTTCGGCTGAAATACCTTTGAATATCATCCAGCTCACTGAGGTTTTTCCTTAAAATGCAACAAAAAAATCCAATTAACAAAAGCCAAAGTGCAATGAATTGTCCTAAATCTGAGGGAAAAAAAATCTGATTGTGTTAGATCCATAACATATTTGCTATCTTAAATAATCTGGTAAATAACACAGTAAACTAAACCTCTAAATTTCTTATGAAGTCCTTTTTGATCACCAAGGCTGCATTTATTTAATCAAAAATACAGTAAAAAAACAATTGTGATATATTATTACAATTTAAAATAACTGTTTTCCATTTTAATATATTTAAAAACGTAATTTATTCCTGTGATGCAATGCTGTATTTTCAGCATCATTACTCCAGTCTTCAGTCACATGATCCTTCAGAAATCATTCTAATACGCTGATTTGCTGCTCAAGAAACATTTCTTATTATCATCAATGTTGAAAACAGTTGTGCTGTTGATATTTTTTGTGAGAGCTGCCTAGAAAATTCAAAAGAACAGCATTTGTTTGAAACAGAAATCTTTTGAAACATTATTAATGCCCTTACTGTCAACTTTTAATAAGGCATAGGATTTGCATATGCAGAACATTTATTTGGAATACAAAATGGGATGAACATGTAAACAGATATTTGGATTTCATGTGGAGTCTGATCATTATCTCATGAGAATTCTTCTCCTTTCATCCAGTATATATTGTGTGTTGGAGTGTTCCAGACGCTACACGCCGTTTGATAGCAAAGTGGAAGTGCACTAAAGAGAGCCTGCAAAAGATGCATAATCATCAACATGTGAGACAACTGTATAAACATTAGCAGGTCAAAATAACAGGTTATTTATTTTTACATACTACCAGTCAAAAGTTTGAAATAATGTTGAAAGAAGTCTCTTGTGCTCACCAAGGTTTAAAATAACTTTTTTATGGTAATATATTTTACAACGTAATTTATTCCTGTGATGGTAAAGCTGAATTTCAGCATCATTACTCCAGTCTTCAGTGTCACATGATCCTTCAGAAATCTGATTCGGTTCTCAGTTCTCAATTATTATTGATGCTGAAGTATTTATAATGGTTCTAATTATTATAAAGGTTGAAAAGGGTTCTGGTTGTCTACTATTTTTGTGGAAATCAGGATACATTATTTTCAGGATTCTTTGATTATTTTGAATTGTAGTGTATCAAGGTTTCCACAAAAATAGTACGCAACAATGAAAATAATAAGAAATGTTTCATGAGCAGCAATTCAGCAAACAAAACAAACAAAAAAAAAACTATAAATGGCTTACACTTGAATCTGGAGCAACGGCCTCGTGGGCCGGCAGTCTCTGTGCCCGGAGTTCCTGTACTGCCCTCAGAGGAGACACAGACACCTTCAGCTGCCCTTGACACTGCCCGCTAAAATCAGTGATGTTATACCAGCCACAAACTGACTGAAATCCTGACAGAAGTGGTGATAGGTCTACAGACACAAATCCAATCACCCGCTCAACCTCTGCAAAGGAAAACATATTGCAAAACTAGTCTTTTATATTTTCTGGTGAAAATATGCATGGTGCCTGCCTGTTCAAAACTGCCACAATGCTAGGGTGTCGTGAATGATTGCTATGCCATTACCTCCTTCATGCCAAACTTTGAAAACCAAGGACTGCTGGGGATCCAAAAGTAGCTCTTTTCGACAGTCTGAAAACAAAAACAACAGCCACAAGTTTAACATGGGCCCTGTTTCCATCTGGTATTAAGATGCATACATGCATGACCGCTTCCACTTGGTCTTTACATGCATTTCCTGTGACCACTTGTGTGGCCCCTCTTAATTTGTCACAATTTACATCACTTTCATGGGAGCGCTGAATGCGGCACATAATACTCATGTATCAGTAACACAGTAAAACATAACACTCATGTGTCAGTAGGTGTCGAGTAGTAGTCTGTTCACACGCATTTGACCATATGAGCATCTACACAATGAAAACAATCCGGATGAATGCATTTTTGACTACCTCTGGAAGTGGCCGAAAGTGGAAAAGCTCAAAACATTTTAGACCCTGTTTAAACTGCATTTAGTGGCACCCACTTGTGATCATCAATGGACCCTTTTAATATTTTCCAGGGTTCTCAGAAGCAGACGCTATCATTAGGGATGTTCATTTTGGTTATTTTTCCTAACCGACGCTCGTTAACCGTTAATCGACAAGATTATTTTAAATTAGAATTGAATTAAATTAGAAAGGATAAATGTCTGTGACCCGTTAAAAATACTAACAATTGTTTCCCGGGGATTAATTTTACATGCGCAAAAAGCAGCAAACAACAGAACATGAGGATTCACATGGCCATCATATCACATCACGCACCTGCAGCGCTTCTGCCAGTGGAGAAAAACATAATAAAGATCGGCTATATATATATATATATATATACAGTGGGTACGGAAAGTATTCAGACCCCCTTAAATTTTTCACTCTTTGTTATATTGCAGCCATTTGCTAAAATCATTTAAGTTATTTTTTTTTCCCTCATTAATGTACACACAGCACCCCATAAATGGCTGCAATATAACAAAGAGTGAAAAATGTAAGGGGGTCTGAATACTTTCCGTACCCACTGTATATATATATATATATAACAAATAGGCCTGTACGAGAAACATATTTTTACTTAAATTACAAATTAAGAAAATGTAAGAAAAACAAGTAGCCTAGTATGCAGAGTTTCGGATCATTTTTGTGCTGCGCGAAAGGAAACAGACGGCAGACAACGGCATCCTATTTTTCTTTAGGCTTATTTTACAAAAGCACAAAGATTTGTTTTTATTGTGAATGTACACAAATAAAGGCAAACCTTTTACAATTCCGATTATCTTTATGACTAAAAGGAGTAGCTAGTTTCTTCCACTGTTAGAAGGAAAAAATTCAAGTGATTGCGCCGGCGCTGCATGTGCGCACACAGTTGAGCTTTGCTACCTTGACAATGCAGCCTGTTCATTATCATAATAAAATACAGTCCATCAAACATATGGAAAAAACTATGTAGTTCAAAAAAAATATGTAGTAAAATCGGTTAAGCCGTTAAGGTTAAGTGTTATCACTGTACCGCCGTGATGTAAAACATTTTGTTTTA